AGGCTATTTGGTCCCTCAAGCCTGCTGGACCATTCAAAGAGATCCTGACTGATCATTTATCATTCTGCCAATTCTCCCCATGCCCACACATTGCTTGATGTCATTCATATCCAGATAACCATTGATTTCTGACTTAGGCATACTGATCCTCATAGCAGTGGGGTATGTACTCTGTATTCCATTTTTTAATATCCCTTCTAATTGGGGAACCGTAGAAGGTAGTGTATTACTTGTATTTTAAGAAAACTTTCTATTAGGCCTCACACGAAGCGGCTTTTTCACAAACATAAGAGATGTAGAATTGGGTAACAAATTAGCATGAATTAAGGGTTGTCAAATAGATTGAAATAGAGAGTAGCAGTAAACATTTCAGTTTTGTGATGACAGGGTTTAACTTGTGGCCAGTGGATCTGTGCTTAAGTGTTACTTATTTAAAATTTATAGTAATGAATTCAATGAGAAATCGGGCTATAATTTATCCAGAAAAAGAACTAATTGCAGATGCTGGAAATCGGAAACAACAGAAATTACTAGAAAAACTCAGAAGGATTGGCAGCATCTGTGAAAAGAAAGAAGAGTTAACATTTTGGGTCCATGACCCTTCTTCAGAACAGCAGTCTTCACTCCTGAAGAAGTGTCACTAGTCCTGAAACGTTAACTCTGCTTTCTCTCCACAGATGCATGCAGATCTGCTGAATTTTTCCAGAAATTTTGTTTATAAGTTATCCAGATTTGCAGATGGTACAAACCAGATGGGAAAGGGAGATGTGAAAAGGACTGCAGTGTTCAATTGGGCACTTACTGTGTGTTTGAAGATGCGAGTCTGTTTACTGTTGATGCTCCCTGTATTTGATTGGTTGGGCCTAGACAAAGACTGAGAATACAAGCAAACAAACCATAGAATTTTCTGGAAACAAGCAGAGGGCACACAATAAAGCACAACTCTTGTAAATAAATTCCTATTGCATATAAATAAGCAAATATGTTATCTCTGTATACCTTCAAGGCATAGCATATACAATTGAGGAGTATAGACTATTTAAGTGACTGGACAAGAATGTGGAAGATAGAGTATAATGTGTGGAAGTGTAAAATTATCCACGTTCACTGGAAAAATTGAAAAGCAAAATATTTTTAATTGCTCATGGACATGTTGATACACGGTGGGACATGAATGACCTTGGACATGGATCGCAGAAATTTGGCGTGCAGGACGAGCAATTAAATAGGAAAGCAAATAGTATGTCAGCATTCATGATAAAAGTATTAGAGTATAAGAGTAAAAAAGTCTTACTGCAGTTTTACAGGGCTCTTTTGAGATCACACTTGGAGCATGTACAGTTTCGGTCTCCTTACATAAAGAAGAAGGCACAGGCTTGAAGGGGAAAATAACAAAAATTTCACAAAACTAATTCAGTTGAAGTCCATTGTAGTGGTTTACTCCATTAAAAGTATAATATAAATGCAGATTATGTTGGAAGATGAATATATAGAATTGAAAAGTTCACAGATGACGTGAAAATTTGTCGGGTGGTAGATAGTCTGGAGGATAACTGTAAACTGAAGGATGATATCAGTTAACTGGTCGGCCGGGTAGGTCAGTAGCAAATGGAATTCAACCCAAAAAAGTGTGAGATAATGTACTGGGATAAGGCACGTGAGATACTTGCCTTTGTTATCTGAACATAGAATACAAGAGCAAGGGGGTTATGCTGGAACTGAACACAATACTGGATAGGCCACAACTGGAGTACTGTGTGCAATTTTGCATCATATTTTAGGAATAATGTGATTGCACTAGAAAAGGTGCAGAGATTTACCAGGATGTTGCCTGGGCTGGAGGATCTGAGCTATGAGGAAAGAATGGATATACTAGGATTGTTTTCCTTGGTCAATGAACGTTGAGAGACAACCTGACAGAGGTGTATAAGATTATGAGGGGTATAGATACGGTGGAGAGGAAGGCACTTTTCTCCATTAATAATGTGGTGAATAACTAGGGCCTGATATTTAAGGTAAGAGGTGGAGGAGATTTGATGAGAATTTTTTTTACCACTCAGAGGGTGGTGAGAGTTTGACACTCACTGTCTGAAAGGATGAAATTCTTGTCATGATACTTAAATAATATTTAGATATTTACTTGCATTGCCATGGCCTTCATGGCTATGGCCCAAAAGCTTGAAAATGGGATTAGTGTAGTCAGATCTTTTTTGACTGGTGCTGAGGCAATGGGCTGAATGGCCTCCTTCTGTGCTGTAAATGAGTATGTGTCTATATCTATTTAAAATGAGAAGTACCACCCTTACCAGAAAGCAGACTCTAGGTAAACTGTTTTGTTTGTTATTCTTGTACAGACACATTGAGCAGTAATGTAGATGCAGTCAAGTTACTTTGGCTTGGCTTCTCTTTTTTGACTGTGTGTTGTGGTCACAAATATGCTCCATTTGCAAAGCCACACTGCTTCCGCCTTTGCTGTTGTTTGGTGTCAGTTGTTTCATGCTTTGAGTGGTGAGGCTCTCAGCAGCACAGTTCGCTTTAGTGTCCATGACATCTGTTGAATTGTGTGCAAGGAATGACTTTCATCTGGCAGATTTCCTGAGTTTGACAATTAGAAGTCACATTGGTGCCCTGCTAAGCAAAGGCATTATGGGAAATGAGCCAAAGGCAGGTATATGGAGTTGGGTTGGTCTCATTGAATGGTGGGCAGAACAGGCTCATGGGACTGAATGGCCTACTCCTGTTCCCATGTTCCTAGAAGGAAATTGTATTCAGGAACTGGCAATTTGCATTTGAATGTTGAAGCATTTTGGTGACAGGCTGTTTCACTTAAGCAGCATTTTGCTTGTACTTAGTCATTGAGATCAACAGCACTGAAAAAGGCCTTTTGGCCCATCAAGTCCGTGTTAGTCAAAGACAACCACCTAACTATTCTAATCCCATTTTTCAGCATTTGGCACATAGCCTTGGCATCACATCTAAATGTTACGAAGGTTTCTGCCTCCAACACACTTGAGTTGCAACGAGTTGCAGATTCCCACTTCCATCTGGGTGAAAACTTTTTTCCTCATGTCTCCTCTGAACCTTCTGCCCTTTACCTTAAATATATGCCCCCAGTCTTCCCATCAAACTGAAAAAGTTTCTTCCATCCTACCCTATCTATAGCCCTCATAATTTTATAGGTCTTTCAAGCTAGTCTACTGCATTCGCTGCTCACAATGTGGTCTCCTGTACGTTGGTGAGACTAAATACAGACTGGGTGACCTGTTTGAGAACATCTCCGTGCTCTCTGTAGGAATGACTCTGACATCCCAATTGCTTGCCATTTCAATAAATCACCTGGTTGTCACACTGACATTTCTGTTCTGGGCTTGCTGCAATGTTCTAACAAAGCTCAAGACAAGTTCAAAGAACAACACCTAATTTTTCCGTTTAGGCACTTTACAGCCTTGAGGTCTCACTATTAACAATCCCTTTGTCTTTTGTACTGGATGTCTGCTTCTGTCAAAAGTGTAGAAGCCCATTTTGCAATAAATTTCGGTTCTGAAGAACAGTCATACCAGACTTAAAAAGGTTAATTCTGTTCCTCTGTGAACTGCCCAACCTGCTGTGTTTCTCTGGCATACTCTGTATTTGGCAATACTTGATGGAGTGAAGAAGAGAAAGCTTTACTCTTGAGTCTAACCTATAATGTTATAATTGACCTAGGCAACATAAATGGAGATCTACGCTGCATTTGCCCCATCCTTTATCAGGCCTGCAAGTATTATTGATATAGAGGGAGTTTTACATTGTGCCTAATCTGTGTTGTATCTGCCCTGGGATAGTGTTTAATGGGATAGTGTAGAAGAATATTTACTCTGTATCTAATCCTTAGCTGTATCTGTCCTGGGAGTGTTTTTTTGATGGAGACTGGATAGAGAGAGCTAAACTTTGCATTTGTCCTGTGCTGCACGATACCTGGGAGTCTGGGAACTGACTCTGGTTGTGGATATTCAATAGAGGTGACACTGGTCTTGTCTGCTGGCTACATTTAACTGTAGAGTGGTGAGTCTTCCCTAAGAGTAGAGTTCCCACTCTCCAAGAGCTGCTGGTCAATCAGAGGCCAGTAACTCTTTGAGCGGCCTCACAACATGGAAGGAAGTGGCAGCTGTCAGCAATGCAGTCACTGAAGTTCAGTTTTATCGCAGAATACCAGGTCAGAGATGAGTGATGCAGGATGGTGGTCACATCATAAGGGCTATAAGCTAGAGAATTAGCAGCATGGCTAGGGGTCTAGCATCTGGCACCAAGTTGGAATCATAGAATCCCTACAGTGCGGAAACGGGCCATTCGGCCCATTGAGTCTACACCAACCCTCTGAAGGTCATCCCACACAGACCCACCCAATCCTCGTAACCCCACATTTCCAATGGCTAATCCATGTAGCCTGCACATACCTGGACACTATGGGCAATTTAGCATGGCCAGTCCACATCTTTGGACTGTGGGCAGAAACTGGAGAACCTGCAGGAAACCCATGCAGACACGGGGAACATACAGACTACGCACAGACAGTCACCCAGGTCGCTGGCAATGTGAGGCAGTAGTGCTAACCAATGGGCTGTCATGCCACCCTAAGTTACTGCCAAGAACAGGAAGAGACCCTTGAGCCAACCTATAGGTTTTAACTGGCATCCATGGGCCGTCCTACCTTTGGCTTAATCAGCATGAAGATGCGAAAAGGATGGGGTTCCCTCCTGTCTCATTAACTGCCCCTCACCATCATACTTGCCAGTGAGAATGGGAACCAAATTCCTTTCAGTGCTCCTAAAAGAAAAGGTGTTTTGCTTCCAAGCAACACCACCTTGTTGAGCACTGCGCCAGTGGAGGAGAAAAAAGAGTTATACAATGTCACAGATTAGGGAGGAAGTTAGTATACAGACACTTTTGTCAAAGGAATGAAGGTCTGAGGAAGATGTGAGGGCACCTTGCTGTAACTCTACTCCTTTCTCTCTCTGTAGGTCATTCTGACGAACCAGATCACAACCAGGCTGAGTCACAGCTCTGTGCCAAGCTTAAGCGCAGGTCATTCCTCCCTACCTGAAGGTAATGGTCTTTTTCATTAACAAAGTCGTCTTTTTTAATCAGTTGCATCACACCACTATTCCCGTACTGTATTGTTTCTGCTCAAACTGTTTGTGTTGAAATAAAAAGAGAATTTGGATTTATCTCGGGCCCTTCATGAGTTCAGGATATTCCAAAGCTCTCCCGAGCTAGTGAAGTAGTTTCGATCTGTCGTCACTGTTGTCTTGTAGGAAATACAGTGGCTAATTTACATATGGCAAGGCCTTACAAACAATAATATGATAATGACTAATGGTTTTAGCTGCTTCAATGACATTAATTGGCTGTTAATATAATTAAGTTATAGACCATACAGAGAACTCTGCCCATTCCTCTTCAATGATTTCATGTAGTTTTGCATCCACTTCAGAGGGTAGACTGATGTTTAAGGTCTCACCCAAAAGATGACATCCCGAATAGTGCAGCACTCCCTCGTTTCTACGATTGTCAGCCTAGGTCATGTGGTTAAGTCTCGAGAGAAGAAGATTCACGTGTGTAAAAAAGACTTCTGTGTGATTGTGTGTTTATAAATGCAAAATATCTCTGCAGAGAACACATATAAAAAAACTTCTAATATTCTTTAACAGCGACCGCACATGTCGTGCTGTGAGTCATGTAGTTTTTTTCTGCTCTGGCAGGTTGTGATCATTATCGTCAAAATAATTCCACTTGCAATGCTTTGTTGGGAAAGGAACTTCAAAAGAGACAGACTCAATTTTTTTTCCACCTGTATCCATATTGTCTCTTACTATCACTGAAAGCTAGTGGACAGGAAGAGGGAATAATTCAAAATGCCAATGGAATGTAGACCTTTATCTCAAGGTTTGCCACAGTAATATCAAGGGATAAGTAATGTTACAGCTGTTGGGGAGTGGGGGGAGGAGGGCGTGGGGGGTTGGTGGGGAGGGGTTGAGGTTGAGTTAGATCTACCTGGGGAACTGCATTCAGTTCTGGACACCTCACCTCAAAAAGAATGTGTCGTCCTGAGAGGACATGAGTAATAGTGGACTTGCAAAACATTACGACATGAGGACTGATTGCTTAAAGCCCAAGTTTTTATTTTCCCAATTATAGAAGATTAAGGGATGATTGAATTAAGCTGTTTAGAGCAATTGAAGGATTTATGAGAATTAAGATAGAAAGCAGCTATTTCCTCTGGTGTGTGATCCCAAAACAAAACGTTTATAAACTTAAAAATTGGAGTCATTCAGGTGTGATACCAGGAAGCACTTATTCACACAAAAGGGTAGTAGAAATTTGGAACTGTTTCCAGCAATCTGTTGAGGCTCAGGGGCCAAGTGAAAATTTCAGAACCGAGATTGGTAGACTTTTGTGGTTAAGTGTATTAGAGTTATTTATTGGGATAAATAGGTATACCTAAGATACAAGTCAAACTGTGAACTAATTGAACAGCAAAAAGATTTGAAAAGACAACCTCTATTCCTATGTTTCCTTGCTCGAAGTCTCCGGCTTTGTGTCGAGGTATGCTTAGATGCACGTCAGCCATAGTCAGCGCCTCAGTTGTTCACTGCAGACGGCATTATAGTAGGGCCTGATTCTTCACCAGTCACTGCCTGCCATTAAACCTTCAACAGAGGTCACAGTTCGATGAGCATGAAACCGACTGATGCACTCCTGTCTAACCCAGGCAAGCTGAACTGAGTGTAATATCTCGACTTTCTTTTCCCTAGCTACAGTTGGTTAAACCTGGAGCAGGAACCGGATGTTGAGCTTGTCAACCCACCTGTCCAGTTTAGCTAAGTACTGTCATAAGCAGCAGTACTATCACTGTCAAAATTATCAAAACAAAATTTTCCAATCTTGCTGTCCCTGACCTCTGCCTGCACCTGCACGAGTACACGGCGTCCTGTGCTTTGTCCCCCAAGTCATTCATCAGGTAGCACTGTTTCCCATTGATTCAGAAGATTGTGGGTTTAGGTCTGATTTTGGATGTTTGAGCGCAAAATCTAGACGGACACAACCAGTGCAGTACTGGGGTAATGCTGCACTGTTAGAAGTGTCATCTTTCAGGTAAGATGTTAATCTAGTGCCAGTTCTCAAGGTGGACATACAAGGCTGCAAAACATTATTTAAAGAAAAGCAAGAGAGTTCTTGATCTTTTGAGCAATATTTATTTTTCAACCAAGGTCACTACAGATTACCTGATAATTTATTACATTGTTGTTGGGTTATTTTGCTTTACACAAGCTGTCTGCCATGTTTCCTACCCTTCAGAGACTGTACTTCATAAATAGTTCATCGACTAAAAAATTGCTTTAGAGTAATCTGAGTCCATGAGCAAACAAGATGTGTCTGCAATTTCTTGATTGACTGTTCGTCAGAAGATAGTGCAACATGAGAGTTTTGTGACCTTGTGTGTTCTTTCTGTGTACACTTGACTTCCAAAGCTGATGAATTATTTTACTTGTTTGCGTAAAAAGGCATGTGAATACAGGCCTTGGGCTGGTTAGATTAGACAAGCTGTGTTTGAGAGACATTTCTCAGTTTGTATTGACTTAATATTGCATTGATGAGAGATTTACTGGTATCCAAAGTATTACAGGAGAAGACTGTTGCTGAATTACCTATTTGTGCTTTATCGTTTCATTTCAGAAAGTTTTATCATTCATTTCACTCCTGTCCAGTGTTGTACAACCACGTGTATCTCATTACCAGCTCCTGTTTGTAGAATCGTAGGATCATAAAAGGTCTATGGCACAGAATGATGCCATTCAGCCTATCATATCTTCTTCAGCCAAAAATGGGCCACCCAACCTAATCATAAGAACAGAAGTAGAGCATTCTGCCCAATGAGCCTGCGCCATCATTATAAATTATGGCTGTTCGTCTTCTCAATGCTGTTTTCCTACATTAACTTCATACCTCTCAATATCATTAGTCCTCAAAAACCTATCAATTTGTCTTCAATCTGCTCAACAATTGATTGAACTTCCACAGCCCTTCCGAAGTAAAGAATTCTAAAGATTCAACGCCCTCTGAGTGAAGAAATCTTTCCTCATCTCAAGCTTAAATGCCTGTCCCTTATGGTGAAATTATGTCACCTGGTTCTGGGAGGCATTCTGTCGAAATCCATGTACACGCCCTGAATGAGTTTTGTAAGTTTCAGTTAGATCACCTTTCATTCTTCGAAATTCTAGAGACTATAAACCCTAGTTGCCCCAATCTCTCCTCATAAAACAATCCTACCTTCGTTGGGATTAATCTGGTGAACCTCCATTGCACTCCCCCTATGACAAGTTTACTCGCCCTTAGATAAGGGAACCAAAACTGTGCACAATACTCCAGGTGAGGTCTCAACAAGGCAGCAAGAAATTGTAACCTCTAGGCTCAAAATAGTGCCTGCCTTTCTAAATGGTTGCTGCACCTGTATACAAGTTTTAATGATTCATTGACAAGGACACCCAGATCCTTTCAGACACCCACACTTCTCAACCTCTCACCATTAAAGAAATATTCTGCCATCCTGATATTTCTACCAAAGTAAGTAACTTCAGTCTTATACACATTAAACCCACCTAAACCCGTTCATTTAGCCTGTCCACCTTCTTTTGATGTCTCCTTGAACTCTCCTCATAACTTATATTCCCATCCAGTTTTATGCCATCAGCAAATTTAGGAATACGACAATTGGTCTCTGCATCCAGATCATTTATATAAATTGTGAACATCTGTGGACTGAGCACTGAACTTGTGTTACCCCAATCGTAACATCCTGCCATCCTGAGAATGATCTGTTTATCTTTGCTTTCTGTCTGTTAACAAACTCTCCGCTAATATATAACATGCTAATATAGCCCCTGACCCAACCTCCTGTGAGGGGTCTTGTCAAAAGCGTTTTGAAAATCAAATTTCACCAGATCTGCTGGTTCCCCTTTGTCTATGCTACAAGTAAAATCCTTAAAAAAAAATCTTAACAACTTTGTCAGACACAGCTTGCATAAATCATGTTGACTCTACCCAACCTTGCCATTCATTTCTAAGTCTTCAGTTAGCACATCCTTTGTAATAGATTGTAACATTTTCTATATTGTGGATGTCAAATTGACAGTTCTGCATTCTCCCTAATTATGACTTTTTAAATAGTGGTATTGCATTCGTCACCATCCAGTCAGCAGGAACTTTCCCAGAATCTATGGAATTATTGAAGATAACCTCCTCCTTGCTTCAACACTCAGGAATGAAGCTCATCTGGTCCATGAGATTTATCAACTCTCAATCCAGCTATTTTTCTTAAGTACTGCGCATTTGCTAATAGTAATTTATATTGGCTTTCAGATACACATGATCCCTGGTGGCTTTGTATTTCTGAGAGACTTTCTGTATCTTCTTATGTGAAGACAGATGCAAACTAACTGTTCAGTTGCTTTGCCATTTCTATGTTCTCCACTTTAAATTCTCCTGTCCGACCTGTAATAGGCCCATGTTTATCCTTGCTAATCTTTTTCCTTTTACACATTGGTAGGTGATTTCACAGTCCACTTTTATGTTCCTCACTCGCTTGCATTTATTAATCTATTCTCCCTTTCCTTATCAGATTCTTGGCTGTCCTTTGCTGGATGCTAAAATCGCTCCCAATTAATCCTACTATCCAGCATTTGGTCCATATTGCTACAGGTTTAGGCACTTGGGGTGCATATCCGGACACACATGCAGTACACTCTGGGCAAAAAGGAACAACTTGTTACTTTATGGCTTGACTATCTCACTGTCAGCTCTTGTGCAAGTGGAGTATACATTGTGTAAAAGTGAACAATTCATTCTTGTCTGATACTACAGGCAGCTCCCTGGGTTGCGAGCGGGTTCTGTTCTTGAGTCTGTTTCTAAATTGATTAGTACGCAAGTCAGAACACAATGTAGGATGTAAAGTAGGCAATCATAAGTACAGGAAATGTTCATATATTAGATCTTTAAAATTACATCCCTGTATGGGATCAGGTTTGTAAGCCGTACATTTGTAAATC